ACAACATTGCAAAAAAATCATCAAACCTCATTGGAAATTTTACCAGCAACTTAGCAGAGTCGTGGATGAACATGCGGACTAAATTTGATGGGGGTAAGATGTATAATCACTGCAACAGAGGTTCATGGCACACTAGATGCTATGGGGCAGCTCTAAGAAACAATTTAGGTCCATTATGGTCACCGAAAGTATGGGAGTCAAGTACCCAGTCTACCAGTGGTCACTATTTTCAGAAATTATATTACACCAGAGAGAAAAATATCAACATCAACAACACCTCCAAATCAAAACCTGAAATCAAGCAAAATAGTTCGAAAAGAAAAATGAAAGCGTCCAAAGAGGCAACATCGCGCAAAGCCAAAAGACAGTATGAGAAAGAATGGATTCAGGCAGAGAATGACATATCACCTCAACAACTAGACACCATCAAGGAGAAATTTTATACTACAGAAATAGATATTACACCATCTGAAATTAAGAAAATTGAGTTAGAAACAACATCTCAAAGTATATCCAAAAATTGGTCAGAACAGCGCAAAAAAACGTTTAACCTCATCAAATTTTGGCCGCTTTGTTAAAAGAAATTCAAAATTACACGTTGCTAAACTATTATCTTCTCTTCTTTACTGTACATTTTCTGGAAATAAATCAACACGTTTTGGACTGAGTCAGGAAAGCATTTTTATTTTGGAATATATTCAGTACATGTCAAAGAAAAATATATATCAAAATTGAACAGTGTGGACTTATTATACATTCTATTCACAAATTTTTGGCTGCAAGTCCTGATGGCATCGTCTTAGAAAATAATAATAGAACCGGAATTATTGAAATAAAGAATGTTCTCCACAACAAACCTATATCTTTGGCTGAAGCAACAAAATCCGTTTCTAATTTCTGTTTAGAACTTAATCATGACAAAGAACTGCAACTGACGAAAAACCACAACTTTTACTACCAATCTCAGTGTTTATTAAATATTACAAGTTTACCATGGTTAGATTTCATTGTTCGAACCATCAACCCTTATGAAATTCATATTGAAAGGATAACAAAGGACTCATCATTTTGGGAATCCATTATGCTAACTAAGCTGAAAGCATTCTATATGAAAGCAATTCTTCCAGAATTAGCGTCCCCGAGACATAACAAGTATCCAGGAATCAGAGAACCTGACAATTGGGTATGCATAATACATGTATACTTTCTTTCCAGTTGATATTTTATAAGTTATATTTTGGTGAAAATATATTTTGCCTTTTATTTGACATGTTCATATTACATGTATTAGTTTTTACTTAAACTACTAAAATATAGATTAAAATTACTATTAGATACAGTATTTAGTTTAATATATTTTTTTTTAATGTGTACATATCATTGACCAAATCATAATTTTAGTGTTTACAATTTGCAATAATGAAAATAACACTCTGATATACATTGATATAATACCAGTGAATTAATAGGTAGTTAAGATTATTTAAATAATATCAAGTTTGGAGTAGTACCTACAGTATACATGGTATACAATCACTATATGAAAAAAGGTTTACCCATACCTGAAATTTCAGTCAAAAAGAATGGATATAAAAATGTATTGTTCTATTTTGCATTGTTCTTACGCTGTAAATGGTGTATTTGCAATTCTTGACAGCATAGATGACTTTCTTAACAAAAACAAAGATAAATTGCAATGAAATTTAAACATGTCATCTGATTCTGTTCATATTGTCTTCTTAAATGATCTACATGATGTTGTTATCAATGTATTGTGCACATTCTGTAATAATGTATTAAGGCACAAAAATAAACCCACTGAAATTCCATTACAGGATAACTGAGATATAAGTTTAGGTTTGTTTAGAAATTTTCAATAAAATCAAAGTTGTATCAACTGTATGGTTTATTTTTTTATATTTCAGTTTCAGTCAGATTTGGCTGAAGGGCCCTCAACTAGCAGTTTAATACAGAGTAGAAAAAGAAAACAGAAAGACCAAAAATTGAATACCAGTGTGAGTGGAGAATCAGCGTGTTCAAGTAAAAAAAGAAGGGGGTATGTTTAACTATATGTTTACTGCTTATACATTGCATTATAAAATACCTGTAAATTGAAGAAACAAAAAAATACATCTATATGGATTATTTTTATTTTATCCTTTTTTGTTTATAGCTCTCCAACATTTTTGGTCCTTATACATCCTTGGCTTTCAAATATTTTATTGTTAGCGTTTCCGAAAAAGGTAAATCTAGAAAACTTCTTCCCACGCATAAATGTTATGAAGTGTTGTATTCATTTATTCTATACATGAATATTGTTCAAGAATGATATTTTTATATTATCATAAATAAAAAAATAATTCAATGACACAAATTTTCTTCAAACACAAAGTGTAAGCAATGAAATGAAACGATACAGCCTTCAACACAGGGCAAAAACCTTAACCACAAGGAAAGCTATAAAGGCCTAAAAAATACCAACATGATTTACTTGTATATACATAAGAATGCAAAACAGTTAACGAAAGAACATGTATGAAATATAGCAATAAAAGAAAATTATTTTATTTTGTATTTAATCAATGTATCATCATCCAAACAAACACAATATTTAGACTTTTAAATAAAAAAATGAAGATGGAGTGTAAACAAATAGACCTGTTAAGTAGAGCTAGAGGTTACAAAATATTTAAAATAATTGATCATGCATATTTACATCTGTGTTGATTTTATCATTCATTTGTAATAATCATCATATATGTCGTAACCATAACATAACCAGGCTATCACGACATGATATGTTAATCAGAAAAAAAAATTAGAACAAAGAATAAGAATAATTATGTTTTTGTGTACCGCAGTTATCAGTTTTAACATGTCATGTAAAAAAATGTAATATAAAATTATGAAAATCTGAAAATGTTGTTTAAATAATAGATACAGTTGAGTTGTATTTTTGTATTGAACTGATTATGGTTGATGAAATCCTTAATTATGATTTTTTGTTAAACGTATTTAATTTTGACGTAGATATTGAAATTTTAGGTTGTTATATATTTCAGTTGTATGAGAAGTTCAAAGCAAAAGTTTGTTGGCAGACACATTATGCATGAATGGTTTGATGAGGAGACAAATAGCAAGAAATGGTATAAAGGTTTTGTAATTACCGTCTTGAAAAAGTTGGATGGTGATGAAGATGCAGTTTACGAAGTTTTATATGAAGGATGTGACGATTCATATGAAATAGACCACCTTGCTGAGGATTTCAGGAATTCTTCCCTGAAATTCATTGACATTTAAATGTAACTATTATTATTTATACAATTATTACCAAATTCTGATTTTCTCTCTATATAAAACCATTTTACTGAAAAAGGTTATCACAAAAACATTAATTGGATGAAAATGGTTAAATTTTAAATAGTTTTTTATTAAAATATGTTGTTACGTAATAAATACTTTGGTCCTATGGCTGTTACATCTTGCCACTTTCCAAGGAATGCTTTCTGATAGGATTTTCCATTTGACTTTATTGTCACTTTAGTCTTAAGAGTATAATAAAGCAAGTTTAAGTCAAGACACCTATTTCACCTGACCAGTTAATCAGTGTATTTTTGTTATAGTTAATTTTTTCTATATAAATTTGGATGTTTCTATTAAAAATTGCCTATTTGTTAGACATGTGAATTTTTAAAATGCTTCCAAGTAAGGATTAAATCAGTAATGTTTAAAAATCATAGACAATTTTCTCTATTCTGTCACTGTTTTTCCTATGTTGATTATACGAATTGATTTACAGTAAAAGGTAGACAACTCAAAAATTGTCCTGTAATGCACACCATACATTTTGAAAAAGTAGTTCCTGTACAGGTGAATTTTGAAAAAAAATGAAATAAATATTCTTATTAAATGCTTTTATTAGAAAAAAAGTAAGAAAAGAAGCCTGGCAGCATCTAGCTATGAACTTAATGAACATTTTAACATATATTTTTCAGATTTTGAAGATTGCATTTTTTGAAGACATTTTCTTTGATGTGGCGTACATAAACGGTCTTCATTCTTGGAAACAGATAGATATTTATTTCATTAATGATGATATTTTGATACTACAGACTATGACAATTACAACAGTATATAGAAACTATATTTTATGCAGTGAAAACATATTTTTTTTCATTTTTTTTTAATGTAATGAAAAAATAGTCATGATGAACCTTAAGCGTTCCTGGTGAAGGTAAATCCAGAAAACGCTCCTGACGAACGAAATGTATAAACTGAAGTGTTTTTTTCATTCATGATATTTTAATAGTTTTAAATTTGAAAGGTGGTTTTGGTACATCAAGATATTTTCACTGTTCCATTTGTTCGACTCCAAAGTTTGTTTATTGATTTGAACGTGTTATCAATGGTTCAGTCGGCTATGTGCTACTTTTGTCTACTTTATTTTATTACTCAAAATGCATATAACATTATTCTCATGAAACATGTATTTGAATAAGTATTCAGAAAGACATGTATTTTCGGCAGTTCCAACTCCGATCCGCATACTACACCATGAGGTAAAGGAATCGATTAGTGTACATGAAGTTACATATTTGTATGAATTATATATAGACATAAATTCATAATTTTTATTCAAGCAAAACAAACACACAACAGAAATATTCCAGTTTAATTCGGTTTAAATTTTTTTATAGTGATATATATACATGTTTGTGAATGTGGTTCATAAGTGTTTTTCGTTTCTCGTTTTTTATATAGATTAGACAGTTGGTTTTCCTGTTTGAATGGTTTTACACTAGTAATTTCTGGGGCCCTTTATAGCTTACTGTGCGGTGTGAGCCAAGGCTCCGTCTTGAAGACCGTACTATGACCTATAATGATTTACCTTTTTTATAAATTGTGACTTGGATGGAGAGTTGTCTCATTTGCACTCATACCACATCTTCTTATATCTATGTAGGTAAAAATATAAAACAATAAACAAAGAAACAAATGAGAGTATTTTATAATATAAAAATTAGTAATGTTTACTCCATAAACTAGTTCAATAGTATCCTATAAACTGTACATTTCACTACTATTTAAATTTCAGGCATATAACTGGTTAAAACTTTGTCATTGAGGCATTGCCATTCTTTACTGTAAATTCCTCCGGAATCTTCTTATTTGATTTTCTAAAAAAAACAAATGAAAATTAATCAGTTATTTTCCTTCGACACAGACAGTTACAGACATTGAAACCAAACTGCTCTATTAATTCATATATTTTTGTACGAACACAATAAATTGCCCTTGCTACGAAGATCCACATAATAAGCAGTAGCAGTGAAAAAATATCAAAACGAGGATCCACATGATCAGCAGTGAAACATTATCAAAACAAAATCTTTTATTCGACATTTTATGTTCATTGGATAACGATTTTTCCGGCAAATCCAGCTCCGATCTGCATCCTACACTATGAAGTAAAGGAAAATAGTTCCGGAAAGGAATCGATTACATGTATAGTGTACAGAGTTTGCATGAATTACATAATATACTATTTCGCTTGTAAAAAATATATATGTTTTGAAAAGATATATAGATTTGAAGTACGTTCATATTACTTTTCCCTTTCGGCCACTATAAAATAAATTCAGTTTAATATATGGACAGATGGATTGGTTCTAAACGTACAGTGGCAAATATTACATCCATATTAGGACGAAAACATGACGATGTAGTATTAATATGAAACCTGAGTTGTGCTAGTTTTACATGTTGAGCTGGAGTTTAACATGCAAGTTACTATTAAATGCCACATGATGATATTTGAAGCGGCAAACGACAATTTTTAAATAATGTCCTGTCGATGATTACATGTAAGGCGGGCACGCTCCATAGAGATCAACGCGACAGTTACTATAAAGAAAAAATGTCACTATGGAGTCACGTAAACACTACAATTATAAAATATATGTATGGAACATTCAAAAATAAAATTACCGCACGGCGTTTAGTGAATTCCAGTAAGTTACTTTGTTCGAATAAACGAACATAGTTTATGCATTAGACATATACCACCGCGGTGAAATACGTTCATTATTTATTTTTCATTTTTCAACATTCATTTATGAATAATGAAATAGTTCATTATTCACTATTCAACGTTTAGTGATGAATAATTAATAATGAAATAGCTATTTCTTAATGTTCAAGCGTATTTCGACATTTGTGTCCTCCGTTACTCCTCTAATAGGCGCTGCGGAACATACTGACTATCAACCTTTTGTTCCTCTTTTGATAAACTTTCCAATGATGTACAAGGTATATCTGTTATAAGGGGCTGAAGGGTCGCAGCAGTTCATTCCATTATTCAAAATATCCATTCCATTATTCAAAATTGGCTATTTCTTAATTTTAACGCGTATTTTGGCATTTAAGTCCTTTGTGACCCCTCTAATGGGCATTGCGACACAGTCGACAAGTTTTATCTATAATCAGGGGTGCGGAATAGCAAAGGTCCAGTGAAAATTAAAAAAAGACAATGTATAGTATTTTAATTTTTTATATGTTTTGATATTCAGGTCGTCCATACATTAAAACAAGGAATTTCTGTTCAAAAAAATAGTTAGGGAAACCCACTAGGTTTTCCTCCGAAACTAATTAAATAAATAAAGATAAAAATTTCAAAGTGTGTTTTGATTTTTTTTTCTCATATTGATTCGAATATTTGTTAAATAACACCAAAATGACGAATTCAGAAATATGGGATATAGTGTCACTATCAAAAAATAAATTTTCTATTTCATTATTCACTTTTCAACTTGAATATTGAAATATAAACTATTTCATTATTCATTATTCATCACAAAACTTTGAATAGTGAATAAGGAACTATTTCATAATTCATTATTGAATGTTGAATAATGAAAAATGAATAATGAACGTACTTCAGCGGTACATATCCATTTTACATCTTTGTGTTTTTAAAATATGCTATAAAAATATATAAAAACATTTGTGTAATACCGTAGTTGACTTAACTCACTTTCCAAAATTCTTTCCGTCTTCTATACTTTCAGGTAAATGTTGATTCAGTGTTTCGGGAAGAAGTAATGTCAAACCTGCAGCAATCAAACAAGCCCCTCCAAATATAACTAATGGTACGGCAGTGCCGGTAGTGCCTCCAACTAAATCTGCCTGAATTTGAAAAGTTCATTTTAAAACGATTGTGAAATTGAATATTCGGTTAACTGTCAGTTGATGAGCGATTAATGTGAAGACATATCATACTTTAAAGCATGATCACATGAACTTTGGTAATAAATTTCACAAAGCTCTGATTTGCAGTTCCTGGGTACATTATGATACATGTAACAGCTTTGAAGTTTCTCCCCGAAACGATACATTACATAAGCATCAGGTATCTTCTTTACGGGCTAAATGAATTAGGGTCTGGAAAGGGTTTTACAGAACAGAGAATAATGGGCAAAAGTATAAGGAATAGAGAAAAATGGCCAGAAAAATAAGGATTACAGAAATTTTTGACCCCCTATCCAGACCCTTATGTATGGGTTGATTTTCATTTTTAAGAGTCTAAAGTGATAAGCTTGCTATTCGATGTGAGCCAACGCTCCGTGTTGAAGGTCGTACTTTGACCTATAATGGTTTTCTTTTACAAATTGTGACTTAGATGGAGAGTCGTCTCATTGGCACTCATACCACATCTTCTTTTATCTAAATAAAATACATACGGTATCGGCTATAAAAGGTGAGATCATTCCACCAAGACGTGCCCAGCACGAGCTGGATCCCATTCCTGCGTTGCGTATGGCTGTTGGAAATACTTCAGCAGAAATTACGTATATTGTTGCAAAAGCTGCAGTTGAAAACAGTTTGCCTATCATAGCTAAAGCTGTTGTCAATGGTTGCAGTTCTGGAATTGAAAATAAACTATGCCTGCTTAGCAAAAATGGCTATTTTATAAAATCAAATATGTTTTTTATTCCATCTGTAACAAGTCAGATTTTGAACTTATCATGCAGTCTGATAAAAGTCCTATTTCGGTTTCGTTTAGATATTCATCATATAATCGAGACGGTGTGTATTCATTTAAGTAAAAGTGTTGACCGAAGCACATTTTGTATGAAGCGCAGAAGCGCTTCATTCTATAAATGTGCGCACGATTATCACCTTTACAACCCCATAAAATTACTAAAAGAAGAATTCAATTCTTATAATTACTTTTTTATGCGAGGGTAATGAAAAATCGAATTCAATCATTTATTTCTTTAATTAACCTGTGCACTTTATTGTGATGAAACGTGTCATCATGAATGTTACACTTCATCGGGATATGAAGGTTATTTTTAGTATGACGCGCAAGCGTTGTTATCCAATCAAACTAACGGATTCTTCTGACACATACATGTAATGTTATTATAAAAGCGGAAAAAAATACATTCCATTCTTCTGAAATGTCTTCCATTTCTGTTGATAAGTTAGTAGTGTCTTCTGGCAGCTGTAACTTTTTTTCTAAATGAAAAAAAAAACTGTTTCGCGCCAGTATTTGGTTTTATCATTTATCAAACGTCATTTTTTGGATATACAACAATGTAAACAGTTATAATATGAACGAAAATTTAAGTAAGATTACACAAACAATTATTTTATCTTAAAAATATTACTAGGCATATACTATTGCTTTTCCAAATTCAAAAGCGGAAAAAGTATGATATAAACTACATCTTTGTAAAATGAAACAAATCTAACACTTTTATGAACACTCCCTTAAATATTTAAAAACAAAACCATCATAGACAAGTTAGAAATTTCTAAAAGTTTGATGTGAGATTTCGCTTTATAATCGAGACCTCCAGAGGTGAGTGGTCTGAGAGTTTCATCTACTCTTCCACTGAGGTTATGAGTTATAACCCCGATCATGACAGGTGCGTTCGAATCTCATCTTAATTGACGTAGTTTGACAGATTTCGTGCCGAAGGTCGACGGTTCTCTACTGACACTCCAACTTCGTCCACAAATAACTGACCGCAACGATATAACCAAGAGTGCTGATAGTGACATTAAACACCGACAGTTAATTAATCATATTATTATTATCAGTATTACCTGTTCCGCCATAAGTAACAGTGAATATAGTGCTCAGACAAGATAACCCTCCAACAGTCATATAAATAATATGACTCTTTTTTCGTCCTATTCTATCGATCATGACAATAGGTAATGCATGACCTGGGAATTCCATAAGAACACTGAGCAGAAAATTAATGTAGTAATCTCCATACAGCATTCCAGTATTCAGTGACAAACCATAAAACACCATACTGGCTACCATCCTGGAAACGAAAGAGAGTAGAATTGCATAGTTCTTTAAATTGTGTAAAAAAGTACAAGACAGATTATATCCCTTTCTAGATGACAACCCAATAACACAGACGACTATTTATTCTGTTTACCAACAGAGACACTAGCATGTAACACGTGACCGTGTCCGTGACTGGCATATTTGATTTCCCATTATAGTCATTTTTGAATGATGCAAGAGTAGGGAATAGGTCCGTGTTACACTTATCAATTCAAAATTTAAAAGTTTTCAAATTTTATATTTTTGGAATTTTGATCAAAGTTTTAAAATATCAAAATTCCATTTTGGAAAATTTTTGAAATTTTGAAATTTTGACCAAAATTAAATGATTACAATTTTAAAATCCTAAATGTATTTTTTTAATTTGATAGTTTAGATATTTGATCAAACTTTAAAAGTGCTAAACTTAACGTGCAGTTTTGATTATTCCGCTTTTTGAAAGTTTGATTTTTAAAATTTTTGATTAAGTTATCAAAAATTAAGAAAGGGGCGAAAAGAGGGGTACCTGTAAAGTGCAAAACGGAATAAAACCGGAACGAAACGAAACAAAACGAAAAGAAACGAAACAAAATGAAATGAACAGTTACTGTTACTTAAAAGTTAATGTATAAAATAAAACCAGAGGCAGACAGTTGTAAGCGGTGAAAAATTGGATAACAAAATAAAAATTTCTCAAAAGTGGAGAATTCATTTTAAAACAAGAAACACTGCTCTGGTTATGATCATTCTTAGTTAGGAATAAAAAGCACGAAATATATCAAATCATCTGTAATTGCAAAATAAATAATTTAAAGAAGACGTCGGTTTTTTTTTTTAAATAAATTGGACATCAAATGAGATAACAGTATCCTGAAATTTTTTAGGTTTTACATCTATTGAAACCTGCATAAAACAAGTTGATTTACGTTTAAAATAATCTCTAACATAAGCTTAGCGTTTCAGATAAATAATGCAGAACTATTTGGTTTTCCCAGCGCCCATCATTTAGGAGTAACAGTGAAAACTGACCAACTCGCAGTAGGCCAAATAGTATGGTATGGTTAATTATGTCTATATTTTATGCTGTATTTTAGGCAATAAAAGGTTCTAAACACGTGTATTCCTTCAAATTTGATTTCTCTTTTTTTTTTGTTTTGCTTTACGACTTATTTCTTTCTGCAATCATGTCGGCAGATGAAATCATTGAATGTACATTTTGAACAATCATCTCAGTTAACATTTTATCAACTATTTTGGTTGTTATAAATTGTTGGCCTTCAAATATTTGGCTTTTGCATGAGCGTTCCTGATGAAGGTAGATCCAGAAAATCGCGTCGGACGCATGCAATTTTTAACGTTTTGTTTTCATTTTTTATCGATTGCATGACGATCATATATTGCCTTGTATCATTGATTTCAGTTCCGTATTGATACGGTAGGAGTACTGAATTTATGGTGCAGCTATGAACGTTGTGCTAGCCACAAATGTGGGAGGTTGTTGATATCTTTTTTACACTGCTACCCGCTATATACACGCTGAATTTAAGAGCAAGATAAAATATTAGTAGTTTGGAGCCAGGATAGTGTTAAAATATATCTTACGTTAACATCAAACTCATCGTGCTGGTCTTGTAAAAGCTGAATACATTTATACCATATAAACGTAAACCATAAACATTATTTTAAGCCTGCATATTCATGTAATAGTTGCCGCTGTACATTAAGCGCCTATCTATCCATTTGTAGTTTGAAATGATTTTTAAAAGTTTATATCATTGGATAGAGAAAAAATATGTTAAAATTAGCTTGAATATGGAGAAATTGGTAGCAAAAGTAAAGAAGAGAATAATTACAAAAATTAAGACCCCCTGCAACCATTCTAGACCCTCTTTAAAGTACATCAGATGCATCTGTTGTAATACTTTATAATAAAAATAAAAATGTAAACATGCATATTGAACTCGCAATCAGTATCTGCGAGTACTCACAGGTCTATTCTTTGTGGTTTTTTTTTTGTGTTTTTGTGCTTTTAATCGATCTGACGAGTTTAGCCCTTTTCAATTGATTTTTAATTGTGTTCTAATCTTGTGCTGTTACACCACTGTCCCATGTTTAGGATGGTTCAGTGCCTGCAAACATGTTTAATCCAGCCACATTCTTTATTTTCCTGTCAATACCAGTCAGGAGCCTGTTATTAAGTGTTTGTCATTCGCTGCTGTATATCACAATTTTTAGTTTATCGTTTTTTTACATAAATCAGGCCGTTTGTTTGTCGTTTGAATGATTTTACATTTGTAATTTAGAGGCCTTTTATAGCTTGCTATGCGGTAAAGATTTTGCTCAATGTTGAAGTCCGTACGGTGACCTGCATATAGTTGCTAACCTCTACGTTATATGATTGCCGTTTGAGAGTTGTCTTATTGCCAATCAAACCACATCTTCTCATTTTGATTTTGTGTCAAATCATGCGAGAACAGAACAACATATTATGATATAAATACACGTATAAATACATCAAAGTACACAACAATCTTTACAAATGTAATAGCACCAATCTTACCAATTATAGAATATCACAACAGTGCGACAACCCAAAGTTCTGTCTGAAAACAAAAGCCACACTTTTCCTGCTTCTTTCTTTTCTGGTGCTAATTCTTCCATTACTTTTTCTGAAAATTCTGTCTTGTTGATGAAAGCGGCATGTTTAAGTAGAGCAGCTGCCTCCTTCTTTCTGCCTTTTCCACTCAACCATCTGGGAGATTCTGGTACGAACCTAATGAATAATTCTACGTTTATATACTTAAAAAACCATGACAACATTATGGTATCTAATTTACTTTATGACAGATCAGTAAATGGCAGTGTGAATGCTTTATTATCTGATTTAAATAGTATTGCATTCTCAAAAATGAAAACAAAAACATAGTAAACTGGTTATAGTTCTAATTGAAAGACTATATATAAAAAGCTATGTTCGCGGCTAAATTTATTTTTAGAACAGTTCTATTGGTGTGAATTCAATAAACAAGCATTTTTATATATATAATGTGTAGTTCAGTGTTGATATTTACGATGATTATGAACACACTACTGCAGTATTAACTTTGCTGGACACGGTAAGAGCTCTACAGTTAAAGACCAAGTAGACAATCAAGGACGGGTTTAGACAGAAAGCTATAGAAAGCAGTGCAAACTTTTCATCTGATTCACTGCGCATGCGTGACTTAATTCAACAGATGATAATACAAATACTCATAAGCCCAGCAAAAATAAACGTACTAATTCAATTCCGTCACAGACCCGCAATATTGCTCGCTCGTTCTAGTATTTATATAATAAGATAAGTCTACATACCACCAGAGAGCAAGGAAAAGACCAATAGGAATGGTTAAAGCAATAATTATCCAGTTCCACTGTCTGACATAGTACGATATCAAGATATAAAATAAACTTCCTACTGGTCCAATTAATGCTATCACCAGTCCAACAAATGTTCTTCTCGACGGTCCAACCCATTCCATTCCTAAGTACAATTAAAAGCTAAAAATTATTTTTTTACCAAAGGTATGTTTAGTGTACACATTTTTGCTGTACTCGCACATACAAAATCAGCAAGTTGTTGGACGATAACTTGCATAAGGAATATTACAGAGTCGACAAAGATGTTTTTTAGTTATTTGAGTCGTTGGGTAACTGTCAAATTGACATATACCCACATCTCCTTCATTTATATATTCACTTAAACAATTTTAAACAATTTATGACATGTATGACATTCGTAATATCAAAAGATTATTTAGCGGATCAGAATATTGCAAATCATATATGTTTTAAATAAACCCATATAACAAAAAAAAAAAAAATAATTTGTATATGAAAAACGTCATGTTTCATTAGAAATTTGGTCTCGATAGAATGCCCTTATTATGTCATTAATGGACTCGGACTTCTTTTGAACTGAGTTATACTGTGTGTATTGCTGTATGTTTGTTTATTCTCCATTTGCTAGAGGTATAGGGGATAGTTGAGATCTCACAAAACATGTTGAACCCAGTCGCATTTTTGCGCCTGTCCCAAGTCAGTGGCCTCTCGCCTTTGTTAATCTTGTATGTTTTTTTATAATTTTAGTTTATTTATATGTTTTGAGAGTTTAGTGTGACGTCCTTTTTTCCTGAACTAGTATACAGTTTTGTTGAGGGGCCAACTGAAGCCAGCCTCCAGGTGCGGGATTTGCTAGCTGTGGTGAAGACCCATTGGTGAACTTCGGCTGTTTTCTGCTTTGGTCAGGTTGTTGTCTCTTTGATTCATTCCCCATTTCCATTCTAAATTTTACAAATACTCAAAATGTACCCAAATCTGCCGAAATTGCGATTATTGTTTTTGGTACTTAAAATTTAATAAAACTTTCGGAAATCGGAAATCTGTAAAGTTTTATAAAAATATCTAATGGAAAAAAGCCGACAACTAAAAGAGAGTCGAAATATAACAAACTTTAAGGGACAATCACACTCATTAGTCGAAAAAAAACTGACAACCCTAAAAAAGAAAAAAAAGACAAACAGACAAACAACAATACGAAAGACACAACAAGAATGAGCATTATTAACCCACCAAAAACTGGAGGTGATCTCAGTGGAAGGGTAAGCAGACCCTGCTCAATATGTGGACCCGTCGTGTTGCTCATGTGTGTAAAAACCCGGTTTTGATTGCTGATAAAATTGATGTTAATAATTTCGAAAGAGGTTTCGGGGAGCACTTGGAAGACTCAGCAATATAACGTTGTTTATGTAGTTTAGGTATCCAATACAATGACGGAAGATCAAGTTCTTCATCTTTGGTTGAAATTCCATAGGAACACAGAGAAGACCAATAATTATCCAGGATTTCCTTCTAGTTAAGAAAAGTCCTGCTTTGTTTTACTGAAAGGTTGATTTCAGTTGTATGCTTTGTGAATTATTTGTTAAATGTATGATTCCAGTTGTATATTATTCTGTTTCTGTAATTTATTTGGGTTTAAAAGCGATAATCGAAGCACATTTTGTATACAGTGCGGAATTGCAAAAAGAAGCATCCAATTTGTTGTATTACACTAAAATTTTAATATGAAGTTACGAGTTATATCAAGCTTTATGTTTGTGTTTTCTATGCATTGTTGAGACGTTGATACGGAAAGCTCGCGCAGTCAAACATGTTGAATTTGATTGAGAAATATAATTTGATATTGGAATGCCTAAAGATTGCCTTCAGTCAATCAGAAATACGGTTTCTAATGAAAAATCCATGTTATATTATTAATCAAATATAAAAGAATCTGAGTTGAAAAAAAAAGTACTTACCGATAACATAAACTGTCATGAACATTCCTACAGCACAAACCCCGGTACAAAAGCGGAGGACCACAAACATCGTGTAGTTAACCGAAAAGGCTAGAGACATCCCGGAGGCAAACATGAAAATCACTGCCACAAGTAAGGTTTTCTTTCTCCCTATACTGGCATATAAGTAAAAAAGAATATTTTTGATTTTTCGTACACCATATTAATTGTGACAGATTTGTACTTTTAAAGATGTAAATTACATTCTCACATTGTTTTTAAGGTAACATGGAGTTTGGAAAAAAAACAGACTTTTCATATTTTTTTCTAAATGAAGTTTACGTCATTCTATTTTTTTAAATAGTATAGATCATAGTGCTTGTTTCATGCTAGAGCATGTCAACAATTCTCACATCTTATTATGATTATTGACGGAAATGTTCAAATAATAAAAACGAAATTCTTTGAAAAAATACAAATAAAATGAAATGTGTATTTGTTTTTAAATCCATTTATCACATGTTTATATAGAAACATGTAATACAGAAAATGCCTCTGCCAGGTCAGTAATATGACTGTTGTTATCAATTCTTTTGATGTGTTTGAGCTTTTGATTTTGCCATTTTATTAGGGACTTTCCGTTTTGAATTTTCCTCGGAGTTCGGTAATTTTATTACTTTACTTTTTATATAACATGCGGGTCTGTAAATATTTATGCAGACTACTTACGTATCAGAAATAATTCCGAACATAAAAGATCCCAACAAAACACCTCCGAAGAATATTGTCTTTGACAAGGAAACTTTGTACTTATCATCACATACTAAATTTTCCTAAAATAAATAGAATAACTATCAGTTGAAATTTGCTTCTTGTGATATGACTACGCCAAAAAATCTAGAATCATAATATAAACACAACAACAAATGTCATGCAATACTTAAATATGCGGGCATTTGAATTGCATGATTATTTTTAATTAAAATATTCACGTGTCATTTGAAAAGGTATTAACTAATGCTGAATAAGGTAAGTGGATTTAGGCGTCATTTTCAATCACTTTATCCTTTTTTTCATTTAATTTTGTTCGTCAATGACTAATTTAATGTCCAATTTATAATTTTGTGATACGTTGTTGTTTCAAACTTCTTGTTGATTTTTAGACCAAACTTGATCCATTTAGTTTCGTTGTGGTGCATTTTGGGTTGAATATGTTGTAAAAATTTAGTTATGAATTTACTAATCAAAGTACTGAAGTACTGAACATGGGATGACCGCAAGTTCTGGTAGACCACAAGCACTTGCCTCAGAAAATAAACAGCTGCACCATGAGCGCATGATACGCCCGTCGTCTTGTGTGTGAATTTTTATGCAATAAGCATAAATAGTTTCTGACATACGGCGTGACATGCGAAAACCCCCCCCCCCCTTTTTTTTTTTTACAAAAAAACTCAATATCTCTAAAATAAAATTTTGAATCAAAACCAAAAAGTATACAGATCTTTAGATTAATATAACTAAGAAGTGTGTAAAATTTTAAGCAATAATCATAAATCGTTTTTGAGATACGGCGCGACATGTGAAAAACCCCTCCCCCTTTTTTTACAAAATACTCAATAACTCAAAAATAAAATTTTGAATCGTCACCAAAAAGTATACAGATCTTAAGGTTAATATAACTAAGAAGTGTGTAAAGTTTTAAGCAATAGTCATAAACTGTTTTTGAGATACGGCGCGACATGTGAAAAACCCCTCCCCCTTTTTTAACAAAATACTCAATATCTCTAAAATAAAATTTTGAATCATCACCAAAAAGTATACAGATCTTAAGATTAATATAACTAAGAAGTGTGTAAAGTTTTAAGCAATAATCATAAATTGTTTTTGAGATACGGCGCGACATGTGAAAAAAAACACACACCTGTTTTAGTTACTAAGTCCCGTAACTCAAAAAGTGTTAATCTTATTATCACCAAAAAGTATACAGATCGTTTGACCATCATAAGAAACAACTATGTTAAGTTTCATGAAATTTGGATAAGTCATTCTCAAGTTACGGTGCGACATGTTTACGCCGGACAGACAGACGGACAGACAGACGGACAGACAGACAGACGGACAGACAGACGGACGGACAGACAGACGGACGGACGCCGGACATTTGTATACCATAATACGTCCCGTCAAAAATTTGACGGGCGTATAAAAATCATATCTCTATACCTGAAAGTTAAGATAAGGTACACAGATATATCGTTTTCTGAGACAAGTTCCTGGGTGGATGATAAATAAATGACGGGGAATTCAAACTCACCGTAATAACTATTATATCGTCGTCATAAAATCATTCGTTATCAGTATAATCTGTTTTGTTGTTATATATTATATGAATATTTGTAAAGCAGTTATATATATAGCAGATTATCTTAATAACTCTACAGGCAAATTTTCATCCATTTGTATATCATTCTATTGTACTATTCTAATGATAGTGCAGTGTAAGTGCATGGTGGACACACTTCTGTAATAATTCGTTTTTCTAATAGATTTGATTTGAGTACTCATTCATATTTTCCCGCTTTTATTGCAAAACGTTCTCTAGATATTTTTCCGCATGCGATAACACATATTTTCGGTATTCATGATATATATATTTCTCACGACAAAACATTTTCATATCATTTATCTATGTTCTTTAAAATTATTTTCATGAATATTTATTGATGAAATTAATAAATAACATAAAGCGATAAGGAATGTTATTTTGAACTCGATAATATCCGCGTAATTATACGATATACGTTCGGTTATCAGTTAAAAACGCAAGTCACGTGGGTAGAAATGTATACGGCAAGTTCATCCGCTGTAATAATGCACGTCGTGCTAAGATGGGGAACGAATTTATCGACCCAAATTGAAATCGGACGACGGAAAAGACGCTTGTAAAATCATTTAATTGATAATTCAAAGAGTTTTATTGCATATTTTTTTCTTTTTTCATAAAACATAATAGATAAAAAAAATGACTTTGAAAAGTGATCAGCAGTATGATATATATAAGTCAAAGTAACCAACATTGTCGATAAACCCTTTTACAGTGAGAAGCCCCCTTTAATGTAAGGAATTTTTTTTGCAGATCTAACTATTGTGTTGGAAAAAACTGTAAATATGATTCGCAAGATAAGATCTACACATATGTCAAATCATCGACTTTATTGACTGCTTATAAGAGTTATTGCCATTAAATCCGATTTTGCTCAATACAATTGTTGCGTTTTTTAAAATATAGTTCAAAACTTTATAAGATATAATGAAACTGTAAACAAAAACAAAAAACGATCAGCAAAAAAAGAAAAACAGAAGTGAGAACAAATTCTAAATCTTACTTTCGTAACAAATGTATTATCGAACAGCTTTTTGCTGTAAACCCATGAACTGCATTTAGATTTGGTAGCATTGATTGGATTGCTGTCATTATCAAATACTGTCTGTGATTGGTCAATCTGATAAACATTACACTGTTCATAAATTTTGTTGTCATGTGTTGACAATGGAATATATGTATCAATGAGACGTTGGTGTTGAGATCCTTGAATCTCATATGTGTCATTCTCCAGACCAGGAATTTGACATCTGAAAAAATATATTAATTCATTTTAATAATCCATTCATAAGTTAGCGTGCAGCATTTCAATATCGCTTTAATTTTATACTAGTAAATACACTCATAGATACCAAGGATTAAATTTTTTAGCTAGACACGGGTTTCGTTAAAAAAGACTCAGCATTGGCGCTTGAATAAAAAAAACTCTAAAAGGCCACATAAAGTACGAATTTAAAGACCATTGAAGTCCAACAAATCTGAAAGGGTGCCCAATACAGGTATGGTAATCTTAATTTTTCTGGGGTATAAAATCCTTAGTAATTGTTAAAATATAAAATGCTGTTTAAAGAAGTCGCCCTTTTCAGATGCTGATCATAATTTATTCTTTTTTTTTTAAAAATAGTATTGTAATACCAAAAAAGTCTGGTCTCGAGTGTACTGATGACTTCATGTTTTTTTTCTCAAAATCTATTGGTTAATACTAGTATATGAAAATAAAGCATGCACAAAAATGCAATATTTGCCGATATTTGTACTTGTCTTTTTTATGAATATGAAAGCATCTAAACAGTTGAGCATTTCCGATGCGTTGAAATATTGCATCTTGACAGATCAAGATCCATCTTTACCCCTTAAAGTTTGGTATGCACTAGAGGCATTCCGAGTAAATTGATATATACACTCTAACAGACAAGTCGGAAATGGACATCACGGACTGACTTCAAGCATAAGAGCTGCAGGAATTTGACAAAGTATCATTAATTTTGATGCAATATGAATAACTATTCTAAAACATGGATTATTGTTTTTAAACGGAGGAATATTTAGCAACAGCGAACGACAATGTGAGCAATATTCCTTTATTATCCAATTTCTCGCCAGACATGGATATCAATAAAGATAGAACTACATGTATCGATACTAATCATAACGTGCTTAACCCTGTAAACAGATTACTTGATAATAAAGGTGAAAAATTACGTACAGTCAGGAAACATGATGGTCTGGATGGATGTCCCCGCTTATTTTTTTATTCCTTAATTTATTATATCATTTTTCTCTATGTTTTAGTATTTTGCCTATAATTCTCTATTCTCTAGCTTTTTTTGTCTATTTTGTTCTTTTCTTTTGTTTTTGTTCCTATTATTCTCTCTACTTTATTTTTTCCCCATTTATTCTGCCATCCAAGACCCTAATATATCTAAATTACTGAATACAATTGCTTGACGGAAGACATAGTTCGAGGCTGCCTTCAACAAAGATCTGATTTTGTCAGTTTTATCACTGAAGTTCATCCAACAACGGTCAAAATGACAATGAGTTGGGTTACCTACCTAGTAAATCTGAGTATAGTCTTATCATTTATAATTCTAAACAAACAATTGCCTCGTTTGTCGACCAATTTTGTAAAGGACTGGATTTATATTGAATTGTCAAAATATTTAGGCAATGTTTACTTTCGAAAAATCATACGATGAGAGAGTAATAAAAGGATGGCTATTTTTTCCATTTTCGTTGATTTTTAAGGCTAGCATTTAATTACATTTTCTCTCCTGCTAATTTTTCATTCATTTGATAAACACCATTTAAAAAAGATGCATCTCTTGCCTTAACAAATGACCCAAATGGATGAAATACGAAAAATTAAACAGTCATACGTGTCAGATAAATGACGGGACGAACTACAAGTATTTTTGCACGAAAGCCTTAAAAGTTAATGAACAGTTAAGTCAAGGTCACAACCAAAAAGTAGTTTAATAAGCAAAACAAAATGGTGACAAAACGACGTTACTATTATATTTTTCAAACTGATGGATTGAATCTGTGAAGAGGGGAAGCAGTAAAATGAAACAAATAGGAAAATACAAGCCATATATCAAAAAGCCAACAAATGCATATTGAAATTTAAGCATATAAAAGAACCATATAAATATAATGTCCATGGTACAGAAACTCAATACCCTGCATGATACCTGAATATATCACAAGTTTATAGTTCATCCAAGATGCCCAAAACATAAGTTTTGTGATATGCCTTTGTTTATATAAAAAAGGATGTGGTACGTATGATTGCCAATGAGATTGATTGACTGTTGTTTGGTTAATGTATAGTGTCATATACTTCATGTTTGTTCAGAACGATTGTCAATGAGACAACTATCCATTCTGGTATAAACATATGAAGACAATGGTAATTGCTATACTTTGAATATTAATATAACATGGTCATGATTTCTCTTTTAATTTTACCAGGCCAAAATATACCACTAAATATGCTACTTCGAAACAGACCTTGAAATTTACAATTAAAACAATAGGTGCAAAAATGTTATAAATTTTATATACGTCGAAGATACCAATTTTGGCTTTAATGACTTAAAATTATGTAAATTAATATCAACCAACATGTAAACGACAATATTCATCCATATAAGAGCAATAATCCTAATTTATCAAATTCGGCAAACAAGGATAACAATAAAGCTAGAACTACATGTATCGATATTTATCACAATGTGCTTAAAACTGCATACAAAATATTTGTTGATAATATAAATGAGCAATTAAGGGGGTAGACCTTAGTTCGGGGATATAACTCATTAAATCAGTTATGCGTTTGTAAAAGGCAATTTTCATCAATTTATTTTAAGCATTTACCTGAAACAGATTAGAAAATAATCTATGTTACCTAGACACTTGTATTTACATTGTATCATAGATCAAATTTATTCGTTCAGTGTATGTTCACAAGTGTTAATATGTTTTTTGATTGAGTTAAGCCATTTCAATTAATATTTTATAGGGTGTCTTTCTATGTTGTGATGTTACATTATTGTTTCAGTTGAGGGTGAATGTTGGTACCTATTAAAACGTTTAAACCCGCTGCATTTGTTTGCACCTGTCCTAAGTCAGGAATCTGATATTCAGTAGTTCTCGTTTGTTGATGTGGTTCATAACTAGTGTTTCTCGTTTCTCGTTTTTTATATAGAATAGACCATTGGTTTTCCCATTTGAATGGTTTTACACTAGTCATTTTTGGGGCCCTTTATAGCTTGCTGTTCGGTGTGGGCCAAGGCTCCTTGTTGAAGACCGTACCTTGACCTATAATGGTTTACTTTTACAAATTGTGACTATGATGGAGAGTTGTCTCATTGGCGCTCATATCACATCTTCTTATATTTATTAGAATATATTTATAAAAATGGTTGGTACAAACGTATTGATGATTTTAAGAGTTATTCTCTTAACCTTAGTCCAACTCTGTAAGTACAGGATATCTGATGGTCGGAATGGAGTTTATTAGTTATTTTGCCTTTGAATATCAAGACATTTGGTCATGATTTCTCTTTATAATTTTACCAGGCATAAATATACCCCTAAATTTGCTACTTCGAAACGGACATTGATAGTTACTATTAAACCAATAGGTACAAAAGTGTTATAAATTTTTAATGAAAACATATTTTTAGAGTTTTAAATAATCATATGGTAAGTTGCATCAAATCAACTTCGTTTTTAGCATGACGGATTTGGTCCGTTTGCAGACATTGACGGTTCTCATTAATTACAACCTGACCAAGATAGAGGATAAACCAATTTGTTTAAACTTTGTTGTTGACTTGTTGGTGTTTATAGTCATGTAGTTTTTTGTTTAATCTCGATTAAGCTTCAAATATTTACAGCTGGACACAATGCAAACAATAATCTATCAATTAAACAATTTTCCTTTCAAACGAAAGTATTATTCAAATATTTAAAACCAACAAATCTAAGTTGTTTTTTTTTTCAAATATCAATCCATTCTGATCTTATACTAAGAACTTAATAAGGCTGCAAGCAGAATAAAGCATAAACTCCATTTAATCAATCAATAACTTTTGATCTAAAAATAAGACGATGTGGTATGATTGTCAATGAGACAAATCTCCACAAGAGATAAAATGACACAGAAATTAATTACAGATCACCGTGCGGCTTTCAACAATGAGCAAAGCTAAATTTGTATTACCTGTGATCAGGGATTCCATTGATAAATACTGAAAGTCCCATAAATGGTCCTGTGAGAATCCAACCAATCATTAACAAAACATAATTTCTCTTTTGGTACGGTCCAAAAGACCCAATTTGTGTTAAAATTTCATCAAACTTCATGTTAATTACTTTTGTAGTCCTCAGTATTTAACATAATGAATAGATATCAAAACAAATCCCATACATGTACACTGATTTGAACTTCCTGCGAAGAGGATTCAGTATCTTGGTGATTGGTAAATGCATTGTAAATATCAACACCAACTCTTAAGTGGTCATCAAAGATACAGATTCATGAAAGAAATAGAACATTTATATTTATCTAACGTAAGTTATAAGTTTTATAACTGCAAATGTAAACATATGTCTACTTAAGAAAAACGAATACTAAGAAACAAAAAGTTTTTGAATAATAAATTAAAGATAAGACTATAATTTTAAAGAACATTAATCATTTCCTTTTACTTGTGTAACGTGTTTTGGCAAATTTATGAGAATTGATGTCACAGTGAATTTTAACACTATTGTCAAATACCATAAGTTTAAGTCATTATAGCCAAAAATGAAAACCGTTAGAATTGAGGGCGAACTTATATTCCAAATCTTTGTCCAAATTAAACCTATGGATGTAATGTGTCTCAGCTGATTCGTTATGTCCGAACATGTTTGTCTTAGGCCGTGTTCACATTGACCTAAACTCGGAGTTGTGTTGGTGTAATTCACACGTAAACGAAACACAATTACGTTCCCATTGATCAAACTCAATGTCTACATGTAGTTTAAATCATGTTTTGGCTACATGTAGTCAATAGTCAATGTAGGCCTTGTTTGGGTTAAGTGTACACAAAACAAGGTATTTAGAAAATTTAAATAAAATTGATATTTATAACCATCATTTATAAAGTTCTTTACCGAATTATATTTCTAAACTCGATATATTGCTTTGTTATAAAAAAAAACTTTAGGTAGCTTTATTAACCCCTTATCAAAACTCAAACCATCATCATTGCCAAACACATAATTCATTTGAAAATTTCTTCCCGAATCGACTTGACGTACACAGAAACAGGCGCTTTGATAAGCCTATGGCAACAGGACCATATCCAGAAGCTGTTCAACAGTATGTGCGGAAAGAAGCACATTTGGGAAGAAATATCAACACAATTAAAAATCAAGGGCATTGACAGAACAGAAAAACAGTGTGAAGTAAGAGTTCATACAATGACAACGAATTAAAATATGCATGAAATATTTGCCACTGGTCTTTACTCAATCAACGATTCACTCATAAATGCATTACAAAAAAGAGTGTGCGGTAAATTGTATTAGCTAGTATAGCAGATCCGGTAAAATGCACTTAGAAATAAAAAAAGCATTAAATTGCAATGTAAGAACTGTTATTTTTAGGCCGAAGTCGTATATTTATATATGCTAAGCATATTGTATAATCCTATGTTTTTCACTAACATCTCAATCCTTCTGTTTCGTATGTAAGCACGCTGCTGCCGCCTACGTATTTTAACTGCGTAATCAAGACATCTTTAGTATATCTAAAGTACTGCAAATTATCAAAATGGCTTTCATAACTGATAGAAAACGGTTGTCCGAGAAATTTGAATTCGATTTTATGTAATGAACATTTAAATGACATATAGTTTACAAGTGTGAACATTCCTATCGAATGTCGGTGGTTTTCTCCGGGCACTCCGGCTTCCTCAACCAATAAAAACTAGCCGCCACGAAATAGCCCAAAAAGTGGCGCTTAAAAGTGGCGTTAAAACACCAACAATCAATCAATCAAGTGTGAACAAATCTCATGTACAGGTTATCAAACCAGTTGTATAGATGTGAACAAATTTAATGTGAAACCAGTGTACATTACATTAAGCTAATTATAAACATGTTTACTGTACATGGCGTTTGGTGTGAACACGGCCTTATTTTACTAAATTGGTGTATTCTAAACACATTCGAAAAGAGTAGCACGAGAGAGCAACGTACAAAGTAATGAGTTATATGTCACCAGCCTGTTGTTTGTTATCACTGAAGTTTCACATATGAGGGTGTGTATGGGGTGGGGTTTACAGAATAGAGAATAATGGGCAAACAATATAAATAATAGAGAAATATTGATAAAAAAAATAAGAAATAGAGAAATATGGATAAAAAAATAAAGAATAGAGAATAATGAGGTGATAAAATATAAAGAATAGAGAATAATGAAGTGCTAAAATATAAAGCATTGAGAATAATAGGCAAAAGTATACAGAATAGAGAAAACTGGCATACAAAAATAAAGATCCCACATCAAGACCCTCATATACATGTATTAACGAGGTCAATGATCCTACAAACTTTTGGGTAAGAGGGTACTGAAATCATTATACGTTTTTGGACTACCCAGCAACGAGTAGGCGCACTTGCTGTTGGAAATCAATCCGCGAGAAACATATTAACGTATTATTTGAGTTTCTCTAATTCTTCGTCAATTTATCCTTTTCTGCACCCATTGTATAAAAAAAATTTAATCAACGTGTGGTTCGTTTGATCTCAGTTCTTCATTGGTTAAAATCCGATTATGACGTCGAATTTTCTTGCTTTCCTCTGAATTTCCTATTGTGACGGCATGAAAAAAGGCGACCATGCCTGATTACGTCACATAGAAAGAACACATCTTTTTGCAGATCATTCAAAAAGAAGGAATAATGTTGCCTGCATATTGTTTGAAAATCATTAGAGAAACAGATTCCACCACCAAATCTCGTGTAATACGATATTTATCCACTCTCGGCAGTTAAATTTTAAATATTTAAAACGCTCGGCGAGCCTTGCGTTTTAAATTTGAAAATTTAACTGTCTCGAGTGGATAAATATCGTATCACACTCGATGCAGTGGTAGAATCTATATTTATCGGATTTATTTAATGCGTCGTTAATTCTAGTTTTCATCAAAACTACTAACGTTTAAAGAATAGAACCTTACGACGGATGATCCATGCGAAACAGGATATCTTTTCCACACCTATACACCTGGTATCAAGTGTATTTTCAGCTATTTTCATGATCTTACTACTCATTTCATTTCAATATTTGTGAGTCCAAATACATAAAGAAACTAACGAAAAACTAGCACTGCAAAAAGTAAAATTACAAAAATACCGAACTCCGAGGAAAATTCAAAACGGAAAATTCCGTAATCAAAAGGCAAACTGATGCTACCAGAGCTGCACGTTTATTGAAATACTTGAGTAAGTATAAAAAAATAATGAGTTAATTAGGACTATATGTATATGAACCACTTAGTATAAAAAGTCAGGTATCTACAAACAAAAATTGTTCCCAATGCTTTCCCTTTTCTTCAACTTCCATCTATATAAGTTCCATTATATTACAATAGAAACCATCCCGAAAACCATATAAAAAGCAGTTCTATGTAAGAGTGATCTTGAAGTTTGACAGCTTTGTCTTCCGTTTGTAATAGTTTCGTTACTATCAATTTAGAAATATTCAATGTACCATACAGATATCATTGTTTCTACATTATCTATTTATAGAAACAGTAACCATGAATTTTGATCTGTTGATCCCATATTCGATAGGCTTTTACGTCTTGCCTATTTTTTCCACTGTGTAAGTTTCATTCCAATCAAGATAGGAATACTCGTTTTTATCGGGAAAACATTTGTTTGGGGCACATGGACGGACGGACGGACGGACAATTCAATTGAATGTGTCTTGAAGTCAAAAAACGTTATGGGTTTTGCTCATCGTTAAAAGCCGTACGACGATCTATAGTTGCTTACATCACGTTATGTAGCAGTTTTGGTCTTTGGTGTTGACAATCATACCACATCTATTTTCTGATTTGTATATTGAAAGTCATCCTCAACAGACATGCATCTTTACAATAGATAAAGCTAAAATTTGATGCCAATCTCAACAAGTTCTGATTGATATATGAAAAGTAATTATTTCGTAAAAATAAACATTACAATATAAAAAAACAGTAATTAGTTCAGAGCTCATTTTCCCTTTTTTGATGCTGAGGTTCTGGATCCTAAATCTTTAGTCTCCTGTATGAAGTCATTTAAACTATTATACATCTGTCTTTTCATTTTCGTTTTGTACATTGCGTTTTAGCTCACCTGACCCAAAGGGCATAAACCAAAGAAGATAGAGAGAAAGTATAAACATAAAAATGATAAGCAATACAAGATCAACAAAAAAGAGATTTTTGTCATTATTTCTATTCTAGTCTTCAATGTTGGATAGAGTTCACTGTTGAAGATGTTCATAGATCTAGGATCGACACAGGCTTTTTAAAGCCTCTAGTTTACCTGTTTTTTTTTTTTAAAGTTTTAACCCTAATTTGTATCTTTTCTGTTTAATGTTATTGATGTATGGCAATCGATTAATACGCGGAGTGCTACTTGACTTAATGTAAGCCGGACCAGTCTTCTTTCTAACATTGCCTGTTTATATGTTTTTGAAATTAAAAAATCAGCAAAAAAATACAAATTTTCAATTTTTTTTATTTGTCCCGGTCGGACATTCCGTACTCGAGGCGAATAAGGCACTAGAAAAAACTTAAGTCGGCTACAACTAGGATACTTTTTGAAGAATGTATAATGCATAAATAGTTAAATTGAATAAAATAATCATCTCAATACTATTATTATCCTAATAGATAATCATTATTTTTTTTCTTTTAATATTATTATAAAAATTCTGATACATATCATTTCATTATTATTCTTATTATTTTATTATTATGTTTTGTAATAAATTTGTAGGACTGGTAGAATTATATTTACACTTTTCACGATGATATGTACCTACATGTAATTCAAAATTACGACACACAGCGCATTAATAAGATAGCTGATGTTATTATTTACATAAGCGTCAAAGGGAATTCCCCATGTACAAAAACACCATTATTTCTTGGTAACTGAAACATTTATTTACACAAGTTTAAAAAGTGTGTACACCTTGTAAACAATAGTTAATTAGAATGTAATTTACAAACAGAAGTTTAGATATTCTAAAATAGTCTGCATTCTATAATTCGTGAAAACATCTTGAAAAAAAAATTTCAGCATAATTTTAGTTAAAAAAAACCAAATTGCATCCATTTTTCCTTTGATGTTCATAGATTATATCCTCCAATCCATGTACATCG